GTTTGTTGTGTGCCACTGAGTCGCTATGAGTCATACTTGACTTGATGGCACCTAACAACAACAACAAACAAAGCTGCCAGAGCTCCATACATGTATATATGATGGTTAAAGTTGCTCAGCATTACCTTTCCCATAGTTATTTATTACACTTCCATTAATTCCTCCAGTCGAAATAATTATAATAGAACATGGAATATTAGATGATATTACAGAATTTTGTTAAAAATGTTTTCCTTAGGTTTCCCCCTCCCAAAGAAATTATTATTTTTTTCATTTTAGCAAATATGTTTTATTTAAAATGCATGCTTTGGTGATAGCAGACTGAGGCTCACTTAGCATCAGCACCAAGCAAAGAGAAGAGTATCGTTCTATATTGACCAGCTAAGGGTAGTCACAGCAGTTTCAAGGGGCTGGGGCCATTTTTGAAACCATTATTTTAAAAATACACGACTTTCATAATGCTTCAAAAAATAAAAACACCCATGTGTGCATGTATGTGTATTTACTCATGTAGACACACACACATATACAGAGTAAAAAGTCTACTTCTGGCTGTTAGCCTTAAAAGGTAGTAGTCTGTCATCTCCAATTTTTCTCAGTCTGATTATGTCTGGAATGAAGGTTCCATAGTGGACTGTACCAGGGTGCGGGGATTGTATACCAATGATGGGATTTTTCTTTCACTTTTCCAAGAGAAAAGTGAACTGGGGGGGTGGGGACATGGGGAGAAAAGTGCAACAATGAATGAATGAAAATCCAAAATGTCTATAAATATTCATTAAAATTAATAATTAAAAAAAAAGGTAGTAGTCTGACCCCATCTTGTAGTTCAACAGAAGAAAAGGTCTATCAATCTGTTTCCATTAAGATTGTTACCTACATGGCAAAGTTCAACCGTGCACATACATGGAGTTGCTGTGAGTTAGAAATGACTTGACAAACACCCAGAACTGAAAGATTACCGTTGTGTGCCTCTGACTTGATAAGATTTACAGTGACTCTACAGAGGACAACTAATTGCTCCCAGGGTTTTCTAGGAGGTAAATCTCTATAGGAGCAGATCACTAGGTCCTTTCACTGCAAAGCCACTGGTACTTCTGAACCGCTGACCTCTGGGTTACCAGCTAAGTGCTTAATCACTGTACCATCAGAGCTCCTTCCGTTAAGCTTATGATTGAGGAAATCTAATGGTGCAGTTTTACCTTGTCAGGGTCAACTCAGTGGTAGCTAACAACAACAACATAATATAGATACAAAGCAAATTTTCTAGAATGTTGACTATTATGGAATCAATCTTTGGTGGTGCACTGTGTTACATTTTGCACTGCTTACCAAAAGGTCAGTGGTTTGAACCTATCAACTGCTCCTCCAGACAAAGATGAGAACTCTCTTCCCATAAACATTTACTGTCTCTAACACCAGATAAAGGGTTGCTATGAGCTGGAATCAACTTGGCAGAGGTGGGAGGTAGAGTACATAGATATTTAATTTAGGATTCTTTCAATGTTAAGACATAGCACTTGAGATCATCATTTTCTAATTTTTAGTAATTTAATTGCTGTTTATCAAATTGGTAGTAGTGAAGAGTTTGGCTGCGAAGAGGAGGAGGAAGAATGTTCTAAGCAGAAATAATAGCATGTGTGAAGGCTTAGAGATCGACAACCAAGGGTAATTCTGCCTGGCTTTTGAGACTCTTGTTAATGCCACTCTTGCATACTTTTTCTAGTTTCTCCCTCCCACCCCTCATGTTCTAGTTCAGCTGCATGTCTTAACTGTTCTACCCAAAAGAAATCCCCAGACTGCGTGGTGTGTCTATGCTGGTGATATTTTGCCAGAGGGCGCTCCTATGGCCTAGTGGTAAGAAGCTGTGCTGCAATCCCAAAGGCACGAGGTTCAAATCCATAAGCTGCTCTGTGGGAGAAGGTTGGGCTATCTCTTCTCATGCAATTAACTGTTTCTGACAACCTGCTAGAGGGTCAGCTCTGATCAGTTCTGACTTGAGGGCAAACAACAATAACAATTCTTCAGCCAGAGTGCTCTCTCACTATTCCTGTCTAAGAAACGCCTAATCATTCACAATTCCTGTTTAAAAGCAGCTTAACTTTCTGTCTTCTGAATTCCCATAAATATTGGCTGTAAAATAACTCTATTTATTTAATAAAAACTAGATAGTAAGCTTTTGGCAGGCAAGACTGACTTACTCATCTCTAAATTCTCTCCTGATGCCCTAAAACAAGGCTGTTTTTCTACAAATATTATTGAATTGAACCTTCTGGGACACAAGACGAATAAAGTCAACAGAGGCAGTAAGACCAACAAAGGATTGTTAAACAATGCCCTTTCTCAGGGGAGACCTGAGAAGTTTGCCACAGAGAAATCACAAACAGATGAAAGCATTAGTTTGAAATCTGAAGATGTAACATACTGTAAAAAGACAATAAAGCCATTCTGAGTTGAGTCTCAAGTTGAATCTGGGTGGGAACTGGAAAACAGAACAAGAAGAATGCTCCATTCCCATTGTGTTTAACAGGGTCAATCAAGTCCCACCAGATCTTCCTTTGCAGCATTTCAGAAAAGGAGGCCTCAGCAAAATACATTTTCACTCCTATCTCCATTCCTCCAGGGGTGGATCAACAGGAAGTGGGGAGGCAGAACTGTCAAGAATGGTTTATCAAGCACTTTGTAAAGAGAGAAGGCTAAGGCTTAGATTAAAAGTCAGTACTACCTGGGCTTCAGTTACAGTGTTGCCACTTACCAATCTCTTTTGAGCCTTGTTTCCTCATTTCTATAACTGGAATACTTACAACTTCCTTCCTTATAAAGATATAGAAAGCTGTATCACTAGAATTGTCATCCCATAAAAGGAGGAACTCATGTCTTTTTGTTACATTCTTGTGCCTGGTTCATAGTATGCACTTGGTACTGGATACATGTGATTATTTGGCACCTTAGTGATTATAGTTATTACTCAGACCATTAAATAGAACTGTTGATGGGGTGGGGGTGGGGAGTCATTTCTTAGGAAGACTTTTCTCTTGACTTTCTCCCTCATTATCTTGTTCCCAGTAACTTCTCAACACAAAGACTATGGCTGCCAGTTGAGCTGAGTTCCCACCCCAGATCCTAAGCTATTCCTACTGTACCACTCTTTCTAGGGCACAAGATAGCCGACTTTAAGTTTAATGTCTGTCTGTGGGTCTGAACTACAGCTCAGCAGAGCTTATTGTCTGCATCACCCTGAGGGCTCACCAGGGAAGATCTGAGCCTGCTTCTCTGTCTCCTCAGAGTTGAGGCCAAGAACCAGGTGCCACCTGGGTAGCTGGTTCTTCTGTCGGGAAGTATTTGAGGCTCAAGGCATCAAACCAGGTTCCTTATTTGCCACTTTTAGTTTCCAGTAACCAAACACCAACCAACTCATTTTACCGATGTAGGTCTCAGATGCATTTTCCCCAGAGCAGGGGAGTAATTTACATACAGCTTTCAAGCCAGTGCTCAGATAAAGAGAAAAAAC